TTGTCACCTTCAAACTTCTCAGGATAACAGATGCATAAATCATCAACAACCGCAATTTATTTTCTGGAGTTGCATCCTGCATCAGTGACATTATTGCCCAAATGTTACTGAATCGTTTGAATATTACACAAATATTTTGGCTCTATTTTATCTAGCTACAAAGTGCATCACCTGCTTTGTCCTTAGAAAGTTTATAACATCCTTGGCTCCTGCATCTCCAAAAACAAGATCCTGTTCTAGTTGCCCTAGTTCTCGAAGACCCATTTCTCTGATAAGTCTGTTAATCTTTCCAGCAATCTGCAATGAAATAATTAATCAAAGCAATCAAGAATGATTATATAATGACTCATGTTAACAATTGATACAAGTTTATTATGTAGTAAAAAAAAAATACTCGATGCCTTTGCTTGTGTTTTTATGAGAAAACTAAGATTATATAAATCTAATCCAAATTCAAAACCAGTTCATCTTTCAAGGGTTTCTTTACATCTTAGCAAGTGCATCTTTACACTGTTAGATTTCCTTTTCATTAAAACAACCATTTAGAATAAAACCACTCTCAAGAGATGTAAGTACAGAAAACTCCAAAAGGAATTCCCTGACTGTTCACAATCACAAGCTAATGCCTAAAAGGATGTCCATAGAAAGTGAGCAGATGATCATAATTGTATTTCAGGAAATCTTAATTAACAATTAAATATACTCAGACCCTTCAAAATGAAGAACTCTTGAAGAATATGAAACCAACCTCTATATGGATAGAGAGCTTCTCAACTTGTTCACCGTACTGTGGTAAAGCTTGAACAATCTTCTGCAGATCCCGTGTAGACAATTCACCACCATCTCTGCATTGATCAAATGTCAACAGGTAGAATTTTACACAAATAAACACAAAACACTCTTGATTAGAGTATTGACTACTTCTCCCCTTCTATCAGCAGGAGTAGGTTCCCTGGGTTGTGCACCCTAGTTAATAGGGTACGAAGTGAGAAAAAAGTTTATAAAAATAGACAAGTAGATGAATAATCAACTTAAGCCTATCAAGATTTTCTGTTATCCTCATAACAAAGAGGAGAATGGATGTTCAACTCTTTTAAGTTCCTCAACACTCGTAAATGCTGATTAGCTTAGCATCAAATGAAAAAAATATCAAGAATAAACAACAGAACCAACCTTGAGCTCTGTCGTATCTGAGCAGCTTTATTCTTTGATACAAAATTGGTCATCTTGTCATGCAATCTCTCACTAGCCTGATATACCCAAATAAAAGAGCATTACATAAAATTTTTGAAGAAAAAAGAGTAAAGAAATGTGTGTCGTATACATCTGCTATATGCGCATGGCGAAGCTCAAGCCAGACTGGATCATGATCTTCTAGAAGGATTTCTTTTTTGTCAGGTTCACCTCCTGTTTTGCTGGGAACCTAATATTCCAAAATATGTTAAATTTTATATGAAAAGATTAAAGAAAGGACTAAGAAAATCCCAGGAAACAAAACTTAATAGAATCTGTACCTCAAGCACGTATTTGTTTCCATCCATGTCCAGTAAATCATGGCACATAGCGTCATAGGTCCATTCATGGATCACAGGAGCAATCTAAACATGAGAGTTCATCACGTTCACGAAAGTTAATAGTCACTTAAAAACAATGTAAATAAAAAAATTGATATTCAAAATTAAATCAAACTGGTATGGCATAGAAAAACCAGCTCCCATCAAGAGCAACTAGCATAGACCTGATCAATTGATCTATCCAAGATAAGCAACTCGCAAGTTTCAGTTTGGGGAAAATTGGGTATAGATTTGTAGTTCAAGATACAGTTCCAAACAGCAGTTGCAAGTCTCGAAGGAATTGATTCACGAAATGATGAAGCAGAGCCATCAAGATCCTTGGCAGCGCGATATCTTACAAAGGGCAGCTCCTGAAAAAACAAAATAATATTTTGAACTTCTTCATAGAGAAGAAGAGATTAATTTCATATAAGTCATTGATTTTTTTCACAAGACAAATGATTGAAACTGATCCCATAAGTTCACCTTCCCATCCTTAGTATCATCTGAAAACAGTGGTCAGAAGATTTGTGTCCGTAGAACGAATAAAGCAACTAGAAGAAAACATTTATAGCCCGTTTGACTCAATATTTATTCCTACTCTATTCTGGAATCTCATTCATTGATACATGATCATAATTTTCATATTTTATTCAACATCAAACAAACTCCAATCTTAGATTGAATTCTAGTACATACTGTATTTCTTTTCCTACCGCAAGAATCACAACATCCACCTAATTTGCATTAGATACAGAACTAAAATATAATTTTCATTCAAATCTTTATCTTAATTTTGTTGAATTGGTATTTCAATCAAATTTACCAGAATGATTTTACAACTGATTACTGTTGTTTGACTAAAAAGAATAATGCACTTCAGGATTGCCAAACAAAAAAGAATCATCTCCTTCAGAAAAATAAAGCACTGCATCAAATAGCTTAAAGAGTTAAGAATAACCATCCCTGTCTTGAAAAGTCAATGATAATATGATGGCTTTCAATCTAACTATTCAAGCAAAGCTTCTGAAAGGAAATCGGTCTTATGGACAATATAAAATTTTAACCTCCTGTTATCAAACAAAATATGTACAATCCTTACCTTCAGTGAAGCAAAAACAGTAGCAATTCGAGTTGCCATTGTGTTCAAACAAGCATCAAATTTCCGAGAATTCTCAACGTTGTTGCCGACCAGTTCATCCAAGGCCCGTTCATGGTCAGTTATAAATGCCTGCGTTGAAGAAACCCCAGTTCATAAAGAATTTGTAATCTCACCGTTTAACAAGTAAAGAAGAATATACAATCAAATTGGTGTGCAGATACTTCATAATTTGTGTAAACACTTTTTATAGCATAGTGCTCAGGAAACAAAAAGAATGTAAGAAAAAGCAGAAAAGTTCCCTTGCCAGACATCCTTTAACATTTATGGATATTCCTCCATGTGCTTTTGCAATATATAAATCTTTACAATGGTGAGCAAATCAGTCACTAAAGTTGAACAGAGCACGTGCCTGGTTATCAATAGGAAAATACTCCATATTCATCTGCAAATTGATGAGCAAAAAAAGAAGTCATGAATAGAAATTCCTAATCAACTGATGAGAACTATGTTACCAAAAACTACTATAAAAAAATTAAAATCTCAACCTCTCTCAATGCCCCTATGCGTGGTACTACACTTGTGTCACTCTTGATGTGATTCAACAATTCTTTTGGGATAGGTGAACTGAAAAATACAAATGCTCTGGAAATGGAAAGGACTGTTAGAAAACATGGGCGGAGAAACGCCAAAGTTGAAACTTCCAAAAGATTGTGATAAATTAAGAGATAGAAAAAACTATAATACTTCACGTACTTTCTGTACAAAGGCTCCCTTCCGGACATGTCAGATAAGAACATGACAATACTGCATGCTAGGAAAAGATAGGATTAAAATGGACACAACCTTTCTGATTATTGCTTAGCAGCAAAAGAAACTTATATTTTCAAAAGAAATCACAAGATAAACGTAAATATACAAATGGAATCAACTTAAAGTTAACTGTAAGAATAGAAAATGGTATGAGGTACTAGCATTATGAGTTCACACAAGCGCATAAATCAGAAAAGAATAAGAATAAAGTAAAAGCAAGTAAGTAGATGTACTTTTCTTTTGATGGCTGGATAAAATATACAGCATCCATGGAAGGCATTGGTTCTCTTCTCCTGAAGAGGTCTTCCACCACTGCATAAAAGCAGAATCGTTCATAAGTTCTGAAAGCAGTAACTGGTAGTCAAATACCGAAAAATCTAAGGTCATTTAGTGGTACAGTCAGTTTCTGCGGTTACATGAATTTAAAATTTTATCTAAAATGAGGAGATAACAACTCATGATACTTTGTTTACTACACCAAGGCACTGTACGTTACCCTGTCAAATACTACAACGGAAAATGCTTATTATTTATTTTGTGCTGGCTCGTGATAACATATTTTGATTCTTTCTTCCACAGTATAGGACTCTTGCAGGACCGACCATAAAATGGATGAGAAGCATCTCTTTACGTAATAATACTTGATGCTTACACGAAATTCCCTGGTCAGTGATATCTGACATTTTGCATGAGTGAGACATAACTTTCACTGTAACTTTATCCATGATGAGTATCTGCAAAAGATCAGTTAGGTTGACTAAAACAGTAAAGCATGAATTTTAAGCGATAACTAAGTAAAGGTATATCAGAAATTGAGAAGACTAGCGGTTATCATTTTACTAAAAATATCACTGTACATTGCATGCATAAAAGAAGTGAAAAAGCTGGAGAGTTAATTACTGGCTAGAGAACAATTCTACTAGATACTTGTTTCTAGCAATTTATCGGTGTCAGTTCAAAAATCTAAAACAAACTACCATAGACTAGAAACTTTTCTTTCCAATGAAGGAAGCAGAACAAAGCGTCTCAATTGATTACAGACAATGAGTTGATCTCCAGCAGAGTAATTTTGCACGGAGAAGATTCCTTTCTATACAAAAGTACAGAAAAAAATTCTCTTCCCCCGTTTGTCTATGCAAACAATTGCTAGTTCTACCGTAGTGACTAAAAAAGTTAATTGATTATGCTCCCCGAGCAATCAAAGCAGAGAAAATCGCAACAGACGTACCTTCCAAGCTTTTGATTCTCCACACTTCGTTGATCCGAGCATTTCACATAATAACCCTGGAAAGAGGGGGGAATGAAAACAACTCATACGTTTGAGCGGGCAAAGAAAGCAAAATGTCAAAAAATCCTCTTCTGCATTTTCTAGGCAATCAAGCAGGGTAATGATGAACCACAGAATGGATACTCAAAGTAAGGCCCCGGCGATTCTAGTGAACAAAATTTCTGTAGTTTGCCAGGTCGTTCAATTGACAAAATAACCTAAATGTTCGCAAGTATTTAAAAAATTTAACAGGTTAATAAGGAGAAAACGTTCTCTCTCCTTATGCGACCCAAGCTACTACGTTCTTCCTATATCTCGAAGCGAAAACAAACTTTCACTGCTTTTTCCGCCTAAATTCTCCCAGGAAACTAATACAAAAGCTTAACCGAAAACATTGAAAGATAATTTCAGAGATAAAGAGAGAGAGAGAGAGAGAGAGAGAGAGAGGACTGACGATCACGGCTAACTTGACGAAAGAATTTGTGATCTGCGCCTCCTCCATGAGAAGAAGACTCGGAATCTGAAAACGACATTAAGTTACAGTCTCTGTTGTTGCAGCAGGTGAGTGAATTTGAAACTGGAGAGGACGACGATAGATAACAGAGAATCAATCTCAACAAAGAAAACAAAAAATTGTTCCGACAAAGCGACGATGCATTTAGACAGGAGCTCTGAGACGAGAGAAAGAAGGCGTGACATGAGAATGGCCGTTATAGTGTGAGGGGTCAGTGTTTCATTTTCACCCGGATTTTACTCCCCTGAACGGAAGAACAAATTACGCGATCTACGACGTCGCTTTGTAACTTGAAGAACTTTTGTTCTTACCTAAGCATAAACCTTGATAAGTAGATTTTTTTTTTTATAAATTTTTTTAACAACTCCTAAAAATTTCAAAGTGAAATTCAGAAAATACTTTTCAAATTATACATAAATTCTGCTGGTTTATACTTATGATAAATTAAACGATTAATTTTTTTAACATTTTATAAATAAAATCATACCTTATCATAGTAAAAAATATTCTAAATAATAATCTATATCTTAATCCTCTTAATCTAAAATAATTAATGAAAGGGTGAGAATAACTAACATAATAAAAATATCATACTACTCACTGATACAGAAACTGAAGGTTGGTAAAAAATTATAAAAATAACCAATGAACCTCTTGATTTAAGTGAGTTCATTTATCATGAGAAAAATATAACACCCTAATTCTTTTATTATTATTATTATTGGAACTATTTTTATTTTAATTATTATAGTTGATTTATTATGTATATTTATATGGTTTTAAATTTAGTTTAATTTAATTAAATAGAAATAAAAATAATAATAATGATAAAATAGTTAAAATTATTTTTGGGATTTAATTAAAAATAATTTTGAAAAAAAAAAAGGTGAAAATTAGGATTTTAAGGGTCTTTTTTAAAAGAAAATCGAAAACCGGGAGTCAAAACACAATTTAGAAAAATTACACCACGTCAACAGCCACGTCAGCAGCCCCGGCCAACCAGGACACGCCGCGTGGCAGAGACGCTGACGCAGGAGGCCACGCGGAATGGAGCCACGTGGGCGATCCGCGTGCGTGCGATTGGTCGGCTGAAATCCATTCCCGCGCGCACGGATTGCTCAGATCAAAAGCGCATGCGAACGGCCTAAATTTCACGCGTGCGGACGGCCCAGATTCATTCCCAATTTAATCGCGATTGGACGGTCCAGATTAAATCATGATGGACGGCTCAGATTAAAATGGGAAGGTTATAAATAATCTCATCCATACCCAACCCCAAATCCTAGCCGCTAGAGCCCTCGCCGGAGAAGACAACCCAGCCGCCACCCGCCGCCGCACCGGAGCACTTTCGGCCGCCAAACGAGGTAAAATTTCTCCTATTGGCTTGGATTTCGATGTTGAACCCACATGTGGCCAAATCGAAGCCAAACCACCAACCAATTGGCCGAAAAACGCCGCTGAAGCCCAGCGACGCCGCCGTGGGTTTTCTCAATTTTTACCTCCGATGAGGCCCTTTCCGATTCCCGTTCGATGTAATTTTTACACCACTGTGACCACCGTCCTTTCCTCTATAGGTTGACCGGAGCAAAACACCAAATCGCGACTCGCGTTGGAGGAGCCACCGCACCCGAGAGCTTTGCCGCCGGTAAGTCTCGATTTTCTGTATTTTTTTGGCCAACCAAGGGCCCTACGTGTGTTTCCTCGCACGAACTGGTGCTAGTTTGGCTAAATTCGGCCAGAAATGACCGAAAACAGCCAACCCGAGGCGGATCGCCAACGTGGGCGGCGGCACCATCGCCGGAGCACGACGGAGCCGCCGTGCCGGAATTCTGAAATTGGCCAAGGAGGCCCTAGGTCTGATTTGGAGTTTTTTGGGGACATGTGCAGGTACCGGAAGTGTCTTTCAGTTCCCGAAAAAAAAATTCATGGAATCTAAGGACTGCCCGTATGCACAGTGAAAAACTAATTTTAGACTTCGAATCAAGTAAGGATCTCTCACTCTATTTCCTATAACGACATTAAAGCTTAATAAATGATAAAACGGTATTTTATGAATTAATAGATATGTATAATTAATTAAGGTTGCTAATGGGGCCCGAATCTAATATATTTTCGGTCAGTTGCTGTTTTAGTTATTTTACAGTTTTAAAGGCATTATGGTGTCTGATTTATTTATTTTATGATTTTGAATGCATGAATCACTATTTACTTCACTACTGCTTGATTTTGTTAATCCGATGATATGCCTGCGTTGTTGGATGCTCGTTACTGTTTTAAATATTCATGATTAGGTGAGAAACAAAAAACTAAGAAAAGAATAGAAAAGGTATGTGAATTGATAAATGGATAAGTCGATAGACTCACTAGATATCCTGAGAGATGGTGGACAGACCGGGTCCATAGGAAATCCTACCGGGAACGTTGTCTCTCATACCAGACGGGGTATGAAAACTTTAAATGTTTTGACGCTCATACCAGACGGGGTATGGGGACGGTCTACTTCACCCTCGTACCGGATGGGGTATTGAGGTTTATGGTTTTGGTGCCCATACCGGACGGGGTATGGAGACGGTCCTGGAGTTAAGTTATTAAGGTGAATAGTTTACGTGTAGCGGGGACCTCTATGGATCCCCATGGATACTGGTAGGCTGGTAAAAAATGAAATTTGTTACCTGATGATTGAAATATTAAAAGTATGACATGTATTATGTTACAGAGTGCGTATGATTTCATGATATTATAATGTTATTATTTTCATAAGTTATTTTCATGAATCTCACCGAGGTAAGTGGACAGTAAAGGGTTTTATTATTGATAAATGAATTTGTTATAAATTATACTTCATTGGTCATTTTTATTTTCTACCAACCTTTACTTCTGTGACAGTGAGATAGTGTGACATCTTTCTTGGGCTAGTGTAGCTCATTCCTTACTTAACCATTTCAGATCAGGAGGACTTGGTTCCCGAGCCCGTTCCGCAGGAAGATGGCGAGTAGATGCCTAAAGATTTTATAGCTTTCCTTATAGTATTCATTTCTAGTATTTACTTTAGTTAGCTTATTCTTTCATACGTTTAATACGTTTTGGTTATTGTGTAAGGGATGTTAATCATAATATTTTATTTCGCTTTCGCACTTTGAATTTTTATATATACGTTTCCTTTTAATTTTCGGGGCAGTTACAAAAAAACCTTTATTTCATATATTCACCGTTGCAAGATTTTCAAAATCAAACTATAAAGATAATAACTCAAATAACATTCTAATATCATATTCAAATGAGCAAGAACAACAACTTTTTCCTTTTATTTGTCTACTAGTATCCCTACGAGTCCATAGGGATGTCTCACTATGCGTGAACCAATATTCAATATTATTAACTAACTGGTCGTCCCCATACCCCGTCCGGTATAAGTGTCAAAAATACTGTTCTTCGATACCTGTCCGGTATGAGGCAATATTCGTGATAGAATTCTCTATGTACCCGGTTCGTTCACTATTTCCCAAGATATCTAATAAGACAACCATTCATTAATTCACATAACAAGTAATTTTCCATTTGTATATTAATTTTTAATTTCATAAGTTAACCATAAATCATGCAAGACAATTAATAAATATACATCAAGGAAGCACAACTGAATTATTATTTTCATGTATTTAAAGTTGTAAAAGCAAACAATCAGTTATACATGATAAACAAATAAATAACTAACTAATTCTGGCTCCATAGTAACCTGTAATTATTCTGAAAATTTTCTAAAGTACACAAAATATCATATTATCGATTATTAAGCTTTAATTATATAACAGAGAATGAGATGAGAGATTCTTACCTGAATCGGTGTCCGAAACACCGAACTTTCTACTACGCCTACTAGCACTCTCTGAGTTTCTTGAATTTTTATGCGAAGATTGAAACACGCTTTACGTTCATAAAACTACCATAGAAATCCAAAATTGGTGAAAAACAAAACCTTTTCTGGCCAATTTGGGGATTCTGACATGGCGGCACCGCCGTGCTCCGATGATGAAACCACCGCTCGCGGCGACGATTTGCTTTGATCTGACCATTTTTTACCAGTTCTGACTGGTTTCAGTCGGTTTTATACATATCTCTGCGAAAAAACACGTTAGGGGACCTCAGTTGGCAAAAAAAATAAGAAAACAGAAACATACCGACGGTGGGGTTTTCTAGGTGTGGCGGCTCTGCCGGCTCACCTCGCGGCTGGAAGTCTTTCTTTAGTCAACTTGTAAAAAATAGAACGATGAATAAAACGGTGAAAAAATTGCACAAAACAGGAAACATGAAGGAGCTCATTGGAGGAGGTTGTAGGTTTTGCCTGTGGCAGTGCCGTTGGGCTTTGCCTGCGATTTTTGGCTCACCCATCATTCTTTTTGCTCCAATTTGGCCATGGGGGTGCTTGGAATCAAATTCTAAATGGATAGGAGAATTTTTACTTTTTTTGGCAGTCAAAGGTGGCTCCGGTGCAGCAGCAGTCGGCGATCGGCTCCCTTCTTCAGCGACTAGTTCTTCTTTTCTGGCGGGAGGCTGGCGGTTAGGGTTTGAGTTCAATGTGATGCGAAATATTTATACTTGTCTCGCATTAATCTGAACCGTTCATTGTGTTTGATCTCAATCATTCGATCGCATTTAAAGAATAAATGAATCTGAACTATTCATCGTGATTTGATCTCAACCGTTCGATCGTATTTAAAGAGAAAATGAATCTGGGTCGCTCATCGCATTCGATCGTGACCGTTCGATCCCGCATGAGGAGAGAACGGATCCGGACCGTCCATGCTCTTGGGAATGCTTTTGGGTTGTCCGATCGCGGGGCACGCTGATCGCTAGCATGTCCTCCAGCGTGGCACTGAGTCAGCGTATCTTGCCACGCGACGCACTCCGGTTCGTCGAGACTGTTGATTGCGCAGTCCTACGTAGCAAAATTTTTCTTAATTATATTCTAATCCCCAATTTCCGATTTTTCTTTCAAAAAACCATCCAAACCCAAATTATCACTATTTTTTTCAAAATTATTTTTAATTTCATCATCATTTATTTTTTTTCATAATTCTATATTAAATTAAAATTTATTAATTTTAAAAATAGATTCTTATATATTGTTAGAATGTTAAAATTAGTTTTGGGTCAAATCCTAGACCCGAATATTACATAGATATTTATTGATGTTAGTGAAGTTAAACCCATAAGAAAAGGCTTGGCAAGCGACAGCCATGATTGTGAGATGGGGAAAATTTTCT